GGCAACCAATTGAGGCTGACGGCATCGAGTCCTCGGTGAACGAAGAAGGGATGCTTGGCTAGCACCCTCCCGAAAACTGATGTTTCGATTACGATCTGGAAACTAAGTGTACCGAGGTCTGGAAATTCGCTGAGTTGGTCAATCGGCGTTCCCCCATAGTACCTCTATCGAGCTCTGTACCTTGTCGAATTGGTTTACCACAAAGCATTTTCGTTGTTGCAGTGCGTCATTTTCGGTATCATTAGTCCGTATTGGTGGGATGAGGCCCGTTCGTTGTAGTGCGACTATGGTTGGCACAAGCAGATCCCAACGGATTCCAGCGACCCTTGGAATGTGTCACTCGAATGGTTTGCCCAGAAAAGTTATCTAGTATCACGCAACTTGAAGTTGCCTGCGTGTGGCCATATCTGTACAACACCACTATCCGCACGCGCCTCGCAGTACATGGAGCTCCTTCAAAATAGCACAGGCTCTCTCGAGTGCCCTATTGGGCAGAGAGAATGCAAGTAAGCGACTGGAGGAGGATTGAGACGGGACAAGTTGCGTGAATTCAGACGTATTGCAGATGGCAACCGACGCCACATCCATCATAGTGCACCGAAACGCGCCCAACGTTCGACCGAGATAGCGTGATCTCGCTTTCTGTATGGCGCTTTAAAGTTCCAGATTTTGACTTCTCAGCGCGTGGAATCGTCACGTAACCACCCGTGAGGTCCATTGACCATCGCCCCACCGAGCTCGACCAGTTGGACGCACCCCGAGTTGGCTTATTTGATATTCCATGCAGTGTCCTGCCAAAGGGAACAGTACCGATCTCGGTGCTCACTCCATTTTTGGGTCGTACAAGCTTGCGGGCATTCTCCTTTTTTGCGACGGTTTTCGCTGAAACGTATTTGTGATCACAACCACCAAACGACTCTCATAGTGTAATTCGAGGCGATCATGAACGAGTGCGCGGTCTCGTGCCGCTTCCATGTGAGTTACTGCAGCCACGACAGCGTCTTCCAGCCCAAGTACACGCGGTGCGTAGCGCCTAAGATTCCTCGTTTCTTATTGTGACCACGTAGGTATCAAAAGGCTGGCAAAGTCAAGGTACTTCCATCTCAAACGCGATCATGATGGTTATGGACGGGATCCCTGGCTAGGTGCTTCGGTATTGCCAGCCACTCTTGCGGTGGCGCGGGTTCGAAGTCTTGTTAGGTGTTTTCCCCACTGCTGTCCGCGGCACGTCTACTACCGGTACTGCGGCACACCGATCACGGTCCATACCGAGATGCCGCACGCGCCCAAGCCCACGACTGCGTATGTCTCACTGCTGCACTTGGCACCGTCGCTCGAGGCCGAGTGGGCCCTCGGTGACGTCATTGACCCCGTCGACGTCGACCGTCTCACGCGTGACGCGGGCTCGTCGTGGTATGTCGGTCATCAGAAACTGGAGCAACAAGTATGACGAGACTGTCTTTTGCTCTTGTATCGACACATTGACATGCATAGAACGTTGTATCTAGTGTCTTCAACCAAGACCTCGCTGCGGGCTGGACGTATGGCTGGACGAGCGGCCGCAGCCAAGCCGTGCGCGACTGCCAGCACCACGTCAAGGTACGCCCAAGCTGCGGTGGCTGCTACTTCACTGCATTCCCATACGCAGGTGTACATCTTTGACGTCTCTGCGACATCGTGGCGGGTCGTGGCCAAGGTGCTCTCACCAGGCTTCAAGATCGAAACGTATCGGAATGCGACCAAGGCGACGATGTCAAGCACACTGTCGCTGCCCGCACAAATGGCATCGACGTCGCACCTGCTTTCACTCTCGTCCAAGAACATGATTGCCCCCGAGTCGCCTCGCCATGTCTCGTCCCGAACCCAACTCATGGCCAACCACTTGGGCATCCTCGTGCTTTTTCTGCAATTGATGCCCACCGAATGCACGTCTTCGGAATGGTCGAGTCGACTGTTGCAGCACATCACGGGCCGTCCGCCGACTTTGGATGACGCGGGGTCCTTGTTCGCTACGGTAAATACCTTTTTGTATCGGATTCGAAATTGAACCGCGTCTAGTCGCCGGAAACGGACAATCTGTCTGCGTCGTCGCTGCAGCCGCTCCGCGCACTCGCCTCGTCGTGGCTCGTTCATCTCTTCCACCCGCATAACATGGGGCAGTACGAAGCCGTCGTCATGGCGCACCGCGACTGCATTTGCGACAAGGCCGAGCTCACGGCCGCCTACAATGACTGTGTTCATTTACTCTACCGGATTTCCGAAACGTTTTTCAAGACGGACGCGGCCACGTGCACGGGCGATTTTGCAAAGACGATTGCCCACTACTGTCCGTTCCTTGAAGGGGCGCTCGAAGCGCACTTGAAGCGCGAAGGGTACTTCAAATTCCACGCCCTCGTCGCCCATTTCCGCGAAGTGGCCCTCGTAACACCCCCTTTGTTGATGTTTCCATAATGGGACTCGGGATTAGAGCGCGACGCCACAACATGAGCAAAAGCCTACGACGAGCGGGATCTCTGGCGACTGGGTCGTGTGCTTGGCCAAGAGCCATTTGACGCCAGCGCTTGCGCTATCCGTGACTGCTGCCGCCCACTGGGCAACGCTGCTCTCCGCTTGCCACGTCATTCACTGCGAGCACGAGCTACTGGTACGTATAGAGACCGCATGGATAGAATCGTGACGACATCTTTTGCAGGTGCAGTCCAAGTGGAAGCTGTACCCGTCGGCGCCGAGCCATTTTATCTTGGACAACCGCCCACGCGTGCTGCGGACGTTTCCGAATGGCGAGTCGACGATGACTGGGCACGGGTGCACCCTCGGTAGCGACTTTTCGACGAAAGTTTAGTCGTGATTGGTTGCGACTAGATGGCGACTATGTGGGGTACACGTCCAGCGACGCCGTTCATGTGACGTGTTACCGATACAACGTTGAGGCGAACGAAGGCTACCGCGTCACGTTTTGCCTGCGCGCGCGACACGACGACGCGCTGCTGGTGCAATTGCAGTCGCAGCGCGTGGTCCTGCCTGCTATCAACGACGTTCTGCTCTACATGACGGCGCGCGACCGAATGGCGCTCTGGAGCGCCACACAAATCGAAGACGTGATGCACGGTGAGCTCATCTACCAAGATGCGAAAGCGGCGCCGGGGATGGTCGAACTGTAGCCAGCAGTGGCGCTCGACCGTCACTTCGTTGCTTGTCGCACACAGCTGAGGTCAAGACGACCATGACCAAATCAATGCCTTCAGATACCGATAGAAATCAATTCCAATGACTCATTCGTTATTCCAGTGGCGCGCGAGCAGTGTTGGAGAGAGGCCATAATATGGAGCGGTTCTCTGGCGTTCGGGGGGAAATGTGACCACCGCTAACTACGTGTGGACGTGGGTACCAAGCTGCATCTTCACCACTTGCTGCTGAATACCCAAGCGATTATGCCTCTTCCAATGATGACCGCCCTGCGCCACGACGCCTGGCTTCGTGACCACTCGCCCCGGCTTGCGCCATCCATACGCCTCGCCTTCAACACGGCTAAGCCTCGCCGCTGCTGCCGTCTAGCACCACACGCTCTGCATCGAAAGTCGACCCCAAAAACAGCTCAATGTAAATTATATTAAATTTGTTGGAATGAGTCAATTGGGATATTATTCCTACAGGTTTTCCCGTCTTTTTACACGGTGGCGTTGAGAGGTGGGCGTCTTTGGCGAGATGCGTGTTTTTTTGTGATTTATTGTGGGAGGTATTCCTTCGAGGATAAGTGAGTAACGACACCCTCTCAGCCAATCCTGAAGGGATTACGGCACGACGGTTCTTCCGATTGGGTGCAGAGGCAGGGGTCGGCCAATTGAATTTGCATGCGCGCAGCTGGATTTGAACCCGCGAGCACGACCCCGACCCCAAATTATATCTAAAAGACTCACTTCAACAACAACGAACCGGTTGCTGAAATGTGGTTACCGGTATGAGCAAGATCCGTCGCAGTGTCGTTATCAACTGGATCTGCGCTGCTGGATGCAAAACAACGTAGCATCTTCAACTGTGATCGAATCTAGTACCTCAAGCGGTACAGTAACTTGGTCACCATGTAATTCTCGAGACCAGGCACCAAGGCAACTGCGCCGAGGTCGACAGCTCCAACTATGTATTGGATGCTTTCGAGTGACGCCGTACACCTAGTCCTAGTCGATAATAGAACCGCTGTCAGGTAGAATGTCCTGCATCAGGAGCACGGGTCGATAAATGAGGTGCCGGTTCCCAAATGGCCAAGTAAGTTGCATCGGAGCCAGCACCGACACCAGAGATTTTGCATATTGTGCTTGTTTCACCACATGGTTAACTGTGATTGCCCAGTTCGGTATACTGAGCTGGTTGAACCTATCAACGTCGTGTAGCCAAGTTACGGTGTATCGTCTTGTTTCACTTTGCCGTCTCCAGGAGGCTGCCACTTTGGCTGGCACCGGCTTGGGCTTGGAGGACCTAAATTAGGTGCTCTGGGACCGACTTTTTTTGGAGACGATGCGGAGGCTTCTGATTGGATGTTGGGCCCAAGTGACGATAAGAAATAGTTACTGTGAACCGACCGACCCTCTGGACGCCCAAAAGGTCTCGATCGCGTTGCCGCTCAGACCAGAGGCGTGATAGTGTAGGACAACATTTCCATTTTCATTTCGATCGACACACAATCTGTCGCTCACGCCGAGCTTCTAGATTGCGTCGTCTCGGTGATCCTTGGGCGCGCCGTGTCTCTTCTCCATCACTACTGGTGATGGCGAGTCCACCCATTTGCGATAGTTCTATATCTTGTTCGTCGACGACAGTCCTTGTTTATGTTGAGAGCCCGCTTGCCCACCTCGACGTTCAGTTGGCGGCATTCGCTTTTGAGGGACCAGGGCCAGGGCCCGCTTCTTTCTCAAGACCGCATAATCAAGTGCTTTTGTATTTAACGCTTGGGGGCCCTACATTTTTCATGTTTTTTTAAGACAAAAGAGCAATTGCATGTCGGCCGAGGTCGGCCCCGGCGTCGCGTCGAGCGTCTTCCACGTCAACTTTTGCAGCCACGAGACCCTCTTCCAGGACCAGTACACGCGGTAGCATGCTCGTCCTCGACCACCTGCCTCATGCGCCTCGGCTAGGTACCAGCGAGCGCGCAAGGTCAAGGTACGACGACGCTCGCGGTCGCCATCGGCAGCTCATGTGGGCGCTACGTAGGTCATTCGGTACGCACGCCTCTCGGCAAGGCATGGCTGTAGCGCACAATGCTCTAGGTGCTTTCCGCACTGCTGTCCATGCCACGTCGCCAACCGGTACTGCGGCATGCCCCTGCAGCTGCTCACGACGCTGGCGCCGACGTCAACACTGAGAGCGTATGCATCACTGCTCAAGATTGCTCCTGTCGACCACGAGAACTGGGCGCTGGGCGAAATGGTGCCGCCCCAAAATGGCCGCGAAGGCGACGACAGCGATGGCGCCACGTGGTACCCTGGCGAGCAAGAAGTCCTCGACAACGTACCGTAGCCAGGCTCTTCCTGACGATCATCTTGGATGCACGCTTGGATAGAATGTACTCGGGAGCTCGTTCAACCATAGCTTGGTCGATGGCTGGACATACGGCTGGAAGAGTGGCCGTAGCCAAAGCATCCGAGACCGCCTCCACGCCGCCACGGTACCGTCTCGATGGCTACCCACTACCTCTCTCTGGCTCACGCCTCGTGCAGGGTTTCTTGTTTGAAGTCGTCGCGTTAGCCAGCGGCAGCTTGGCTTGGCATCTCATCGCCAAAGTCACGTCGCCCGGCTTCACGGTGGCCACGTACCGCAACCGCGGTGGTGGCGTGCTATCCATGGCAGCTTCGTTGCCGTCGTTGTCGTCCTTGCCGGCGCCGATTCGGACGATGGCCAACGACCTCGGACTTCTGAGCTACTTTCTGGCGTCGGTCGAGCCGTCGAACTTAGCGGCCGAGGTTGCGCTAGTTGGCCACCTCGTCGGCGACATGTCGTCCCCGCCTGCTCCGTTCAACTGCGTGGCCCGCTTGAACGACACGCCGGTGCGAGCCTTTGACGTCCATTTGTATCAAGCACAGTGCGCTCACCCGTAGGTCTCGGACGAGCACGCGTTGACAGCCGCACTGCTCGCGCACTTGCTCGAGCCGAAGCAGGTGGCGCAGCTCCGCGCCTTTGTCCAAACGCACAACGTCTGTGTGCTCGCCAAGGCGACGCTGCGTGACGCGTACAACGACTGCGTCCTGCTGTTGCACAACCTCGCAAATGATTACTTGGTGCGCGCGTTTGAAACGACGCTGTCGCTTCTCGCGTCGCTCGTGCGCCAAAGACACCCGGCACTAGAGCTGGCCGTGCAGGCGCGAATCGACGTCGAAGGTCGGTTCGGGTACCGCTCGGTTGTCGCCCTCTTCCGTGAAGTCTCCTTGGTGCGCGTGCTCCAGTGTCTGAGACATGTAATACTCATTCGGTGTAGTGTGCGATCCACCACCCGGTTGCGCCTACAAGTGCGACGGCATCGGCGCTCTCGGGCGAGTGGGTTTTTGACGCGGACGCCTCTAGTATGGACCTTGCGTCAGGGGCGACGTGTTCGCTATGGGACGCTACGCGCTGGGCGACTTGGCTCTACGGCTGCCGCTTGGACCATCGCGGGCGCACATTGCATGTACGAGAGACTAAGCGCGGAGGGATGCACAACGATTTGTATACATTCAGGTGGCCTCCAACTGGCAATTGTATGCAAGCGAGTCGGTCTTTCTGCTGGACAACACGCCGCGCCTTCTGCGCACGTTCCCAAACGGAGAGTCCACGATGGGTGGGACAGGCGTGGTCCTCGGTGCGTGATATATTCCGCGGATTTCTGATCTTGATAATTTGATATTGTAGACGGCGATTACGTCGGCCACGTCACGAGCGCCGGTGGCATTTACCTCGAGTGCTACCGGTACCACTTGCTCGCCGCGTGCAGCTCCCGTCTCGAACTGCAGCTCAGCGTGCACCACGGCACCCTCTCGTGCAGCTTCAAGTGGTACTGCATCGACGGCCGCCTCGACCCGTCGCTCGTCGTCGCTGCCGCCGCCGAACGACGCGCACTTGTTTGGGCGTCGACGTCGGCGCCGGTCGTGGGCTGTGGGCACGCCGCGTTTGTGCGACGTTCCGTGGACTGAGACGATAAGATGTCGGTTATAGCTATCTCTCAACAAGCACCGCAGTCTCGATCGTGGTTCATCCGAATGATAACGGGACATGTCGCAAAATTCGCTGACGACTAGCTACTACGGTACACATGTGGGTCTGAGCTCCTTCGGCCACCTTGGACATTGCACAAAGCGTGTCACTGTTGCCATGTGTCGCGCCTCCCGATGACACATCATTCTTCCTTGCACATGCCTGCAGTACCTTCGACGCTAGGATATACCTCGGCGGGGCGACAAGGTTGCTCAAATGCCTGCAGACCGAGACTTGATGACATCGGGGTACGGTGATGCCTTTGCGCTCGCGATACTGCGTCACGGCGTCTCTCGCAGCTACATCAGCCGTCGTGACAAGGGTACGACCATCCATATTTTTCAGGTGCCTATCATCGGAGGTTCGTCTCGCCCGCTGGATTTGGAGTTGACGTCACTGCATTTCATGATCCGCAAAACTGATCGGCAGTGGACCCGTGCCTGTCGCCAAGCGTCGCCACGACAACAAGGTACATATACGCGCGGTCATCTTCATCGGCCGCCATCGGCAATGTCAACCCCGACGCACGACTGGAGACGTCAACCCAAGACGATATTGCATCAAGTCGAGGTAAGTACACGCTGTTGCCTTCACATACACGCCCTCATAGTCGCATATCGCGTGAGCCGACCGAGTCCAGTGCTGTTCTGGAAGATGCGATAACATTTGCAGCAAGATTGGGACGATACCGCCGACACGAGCCCTTATACCTTCGTCTCTTGGTCATGTTCGCTCGCACTATGACACCACGGTACGCAGCTTCACGATATAACCATGGGTCAATAAAATATTGACCCATGATATAACGAAAGCGTGTCGAGCCGCAGGTAGGTTTGTTCTAGGACAAAACCGAATTCACCCGACACACCACAACGAGCAAGGGTGGTACTTAGCTCCCACAGGACGGCCACAAGGAGCGTCCACACACGATCTGGTAGAGAACCTCCCAACAACTAGGGTCGCGATCCCAGACTTTTCAATCCGAGCGTTAGTCGTCCGAAGACGGGCTTTGTCGTGGGGACTCGCTCTACATCTCAGCGGTAGGCAACATGCAGTTGACAACGCCGCTCTCTACACCATCATCCCAAGCCGTGACCAGACGCAATGCGTTCAAGAATGCGAGTTTTTGCATGCTGTTTCGCACTGTGCGAGTGCGCTTCCAAGGCCACACTAGTCTACGTTCCGCCATCAAACCCACCACGCCAGCGACAACGCTCGCTCGATTGCGCAGGTCCAAGTGTTTGATAAAACCCAGGTTGCGCAAGGCCATATGATATCCATCGATGCTTCCAGAGCTCCTTTGGCGCCACCCAAGACGAGGTGCGCGGTGAGCAAGTTCCTCCGAAAAAATTCATTACTCTGTGCAAGCTGCATTGATGCGCAACTTGCCAGCGACGAGTTGAGTCGAAGACGCCAGCAAGGTATTCACTCATCTGACATCTGCCATTGCAATTCGCCCTGTCTCGGTTGAGATGAGTGTCGACATCAATTCCGCTTCTTCTTGGGTCGTCACGAGAACGCACCATGCCGGTGAAACCAGCGGAAACACAGGCTCTTGATTTCGGATTTTTCGAGTGCTACGGCTGCCCAGGGTCAACCGTGAGTCGTGTCTGTCGAAGCGGCCCGTGCAGCACAGATCCATCTGCTCAAACCTAGTCAAGCAGCCTTAGGCACCGTGGACCTTTCTTGGGAGCCCAACTGGACGATATATCACCTCGACGACCGCATACAAAACTCAAGTCGGCGGACAGTTCGATGTCTTCGTAGCCGGCAATGTCCATCATCGGACCGCAGCATGATCAACCTCATTTATGGTATCGTTGGCTATCGCCGCGGTAAATCATTCAGTGAATTCGTAAACCCATTGGTTAAAACCACTCTTCACAGCACACAGCAAGAACGAGTAGCGACCACGTACGAGCGACGGTATAGTGATGTTGCCACGCATTTGGCTGTCACTGTCTCGCTGTGCAAATGACGCTCTTGTCAACGCGTTTGCTACCGTGACATCGACGTTTTACGGTCCACACACCAACAGACAATGTCATTTCATCTCATGTTCACGGATGCAAATTTTCATTTCGTTGGCGTCTTTAAATCTTCAAGTCACAGATTCTCCACATTGTCGAGTCACACTTATCGGGAGGTTCACCGCACTGTCTCATTCTGTCGTCACCGCCTGCGTCACAGCGATCGTGTGCGACGCGCCGGCGGCCACTTGCAGCACGCGGACCGTCTCTTCCGCGGCAGCGAGAACGCGAGGCTCTTCGAGTATTGTGGCGTGTGTCCCACTGCCCATCAGATCACACTGCCTGTGGACGTTACTCCCCCAGCCCTAGGGCAGCAGGTTTCAAGAGCCCTTGAAGCGACCAGCTGCGTACCCAGATGCTGCCGTCCGCCAAGGTCCACACAATATGGTTGGCGCCGCACGCCATCGTTCGCACCACCGCTGGCACGTCGAGGGGCGTGAGCCAGTGCTGTACATTAGGCATATCTGGGCACACTAGGCCCGCCAGCAGAACATGCCCCGACTTGAGCAGCACGCACGTATACGCAGCACCGCCACCCACGTCGACGGGCTTTGCCCCGGGCGGTAGCACAACCTACTCGCAGGCTTTGAGTACGGTTTGCCTGTCGAGCCGCAAGGAGTACGCGTAATGGCGACGGAACATCCATTTCGGATCCAATGCCGAGCCGACCGTCGCTGCCGCAGCCCCATGCAAAGAGCGTCCCATCCTACGCACATTGAGACGACGCGTGGGAGAAGACGAGGAAGCAAGTGTACGCGAGAAAGGACCATCGAGTGGTGAGCGCCAGCCGCGATGCGCAGCGCAGCTCCGGGTTCTCTCGTTTCGGCCGAGACTGAAGAAGCACCGTTCGACGCCTCTTTCAAGCTCGCGCTCGCCGAGACGGCTGTTGCCAAGGTGCTTTGGGTCGACCACGCGCTCTCTACGGGGCTTGGACGCTACGCATATTCGTTCAACCGATGCAAAGGACACAGAACGTACGGAGGCTGCGTCGTTCCCGATTGTGGTTTCGCGCCCGAGCTGGAAGAAGCGGTTGCAGCCCCACGAAAAGACCGCGCCTTGTGACGACATGGCCAGCGAGTGGGCATCACCGCACGCGACAGCGCTGATGTAGGCGCCTTGTAGTCCATCTAACAAAGCTCAGCCGTCGTCGTTGATGTAGTTGTATGCAGGGACAAGCTCACCTTCGATGCGACGTGGGGTGATGCTCATGGGTACTGTCGCGCTTGGCAGACCGAGTTGCCCGACTGCGTTCGTACCTACATGTATGTATACGTGAGAATAATGGTAGGCAAATGAGAGAGACCCCAGGCAAAGACGTGGCCGTTGATGTCGCACGCCAGCATGTGAAAGGATCCGCAGGCCACCTCCGCGATATAAGAATGATAAGGACTAGGATAAAGTCGCAAAATGGCGTTCCACCTGCAACACTTTGGTGACGCCGACGACGCGCTGCGGCATCTCGACGTGGTTGATTGCTTGTGGGTACCCGAGCCGCCCTCCGTACGCGTCTCCCCACGTTGCGACCGCACCAGAATCTAGTCGTTTATGAAGTCGTAGCAGACAAAGACTATGGAATGTACTACCTGAAACGGAGGCAAAACACCGATGGCCGACCGCTACATGGTACACACAGCCCTCGACTGGTATCGGGTCGATGCGACCCGAGACGTGCAGTACAGACGGCGTGTCCTCGGTCGTTCTCATTGAGCGATCGCCCTCTGGCTGCGCTGCGAGTGCCGTCAGTGACAACTCGTTGTGACTCGTCGTCATCGTGCTTGTCAGAAGCCATTCAAGGGCAACTTGAAAGTTGGCCATCGTGAAACTATATATCAGAGTATCAAGCAAAGGGTGCAATAAATAAGGTACCCAATGGCCGAGACCGTCGCCGGCACAAAGTGATACTGCTCCATGTACTGCAGCATGGCCGCAAATGGGAAGCGGCCGTCAGATGTGATGCCCGCACGCACCAGAATGTAGATGAGCTGGTCCAAGACATCGTCCGTGCTCAAGTGAAACTCGCCTATCGCTCTATCTTGATACATTGATACAAAAGCAACCTGCGCACCGAGCGGCCACTTGTGCCGAATGAGACGCGCATGAATCGCGTCTTGCACCGACTGGAGCACGCGCTTGAGCTGAAGGAGCATACCCAGTGGCGTCGTCTGGTTGTATGCAGACAAGAGTAACGCGATGGCTTCCTTGTGTTGACACTAGAGATATGTTCATTTATATCAGCAATTTTAAAAGAAATTAGTACCTGGTACTCCCGTCGAATCTTAAACGTTGATGGCGTCGCGTTGCGCAACGCAAACCACGCGGCCTCGAGCTTGGCTTGGTCGGCGACGCAGCTACATGCATGCGCTGGTGTAGCAGTCTGCGCAAATCAACCAGATACGTACGTTGCTTCCAGTCGGTGGAGCACCTTTGCATGCACTTGCTCGAGCAAGTACGACTCGACCGCTTGGTCCAGCTGCAGCGAGCGCTGGTGCGTGCGCGGTCCGAGGTCGAGCGTGCCGTTCTCCAATAGCAGCGCGGTGCTCTGCTGCCATACGCGGCCAAGGTTTTCCGGACCAAACGCCGGATCTACCGACGCAATGGCAAGTCGATACATTGATACAAAAGTCGTACGGGACGGCGGCAGGCGCTGCACTTGGTGGACAAAGTAGTCGAGCGATGCAAAGACCGACTCGGACTCGGGATAGGCGCGCATGAGCGCAATGTACCGGCGAAAGGTCTTGACGTCCATTTCGCCCATCTCGTCCGGAACGGCGACGCCGCCTTCGAGCGGCCGGTTGATGTGCACGAGGCTCACCTGCCTCGCTCGATTGCACTGCGTTCTTATCGGGAGACACACAAGTACCTGCAACGAGCGGTGCGGCCACTCTTCCGTCATGAGAATGCGAACGACGCGGGCGTCATGAAAGCCCGCTTTGGTGTGGATGTGGGCGCCGACGACCGCAATCTGCTTGCCTAGCCGCCCGTCATGAGCCAAGGCCATGCGATTCAATGGTACCGTTGAGGCTGCGGTACTGGCCGACCTGCGCGTCTGGGAGCAGAAAGTGCGTCTGCAGCTGCGTTCGCGAGATCGCCGCCGTTAGCAGCGAGAGACTTTGCGGTATGCACATGAGGCACTTGAGGCCATCGGCGCTGGCCGCCGTCTGCCGCATGCAATCGTCGACGAGCGCGTCGCAGTGGGCAGCAAAGGCCGCCAAGAACGGATGCGCCGAGCTCATGCCAGCGGATCGCGGTGCAACCTGTGAAAGTGTATCGCGTCTGTCTTTATGAAACATCAATATAATACATACACAAGAAAAGGAATTTATTTAAAATAAAAGAATCGATTGTGACGGGTGTTGAGTAAAAAGCAAGCGTTAAAAACGTTAAATAAGAGCGAACAAGACGCACCCGTTGGGATCAGGTGCGGAACCGGCTGGTGCGGTCGCCAGCGGTAAAGATTCCGCACATTGCCGAAGGACCTTTTGTTCTCGAGCTTTTCGCGCGTGGATTTCATGATAGGTTTTCGCAGACGCAGAGTCTTCTACTGAACTAGAGCTCTAGTGTACTAGATAGCGCTGCCTCGAAATACATTGAGCTAGAGCGGTATATCACGTCCCTAGAGTTTGCATACAAGGTGATAACTTCTTGGAGAAAGCTTATGAAATGGGTGCACGGTCGGTGTTGAACCAGACCCCGGACCAGCTTTCCACGCACGCCAGCGCACAATAGCTACTAGAATACCGTTCATTTTCGCTGGTCGTCGCCACCGCACCAGACGCTAGCGATGCGATAATTTGAGGGCTTGAGCGAGAAAATTGCGTCGCCGAGAAGCAAATTCGATCGAAGATATGTCGCGGCGCATGTTCGTTTGTCCCGGTTTATCCCAGTATGTGCGCCCAGTGCCCCGTTTAGCATACAAAGACCAAGTCGGGCAAAACGCTCTCTGGTCTTTGTCCCAACATGTCGCAGATGACACCGGCGCAACTTCAACCAGGTCCGGTTTCGCTTCTGTTTGGTCACTTTGCCTTTTGGCTGCCACAACACACTCGCCTTCCAGCAAACGAAAACGATGACGAAGCCCCACGCACAGTACATGATGGGCGACAGCAGCGCCGTGCTCACCCGCCAGCAGACCCACGTCTCGGCGCGCAGCATCCACGTCCTCCACACCGGCGCCAAGACGCCAACGACATCGCCCTTCTTTGTGCCCGCGACCCTCGTCGTCGTCGCTGTCTTGCGGGGCGAGACCGTTGACCTCTCGCACGCCACTTTTGTCCACCCAACAACAATCATCAAGGTCTATGCGATCCTCGGTGGCGTGCGCATCATCTTGCCCCGGGGTGTTCGCTTCGAGTCGAGCGGCGTCGGCGTCGCAGGCTCCTTCAAGAGCGTGGCTGAAGACGACTCGCTCTCGACGGAGGCGCCGCTGGTGCAGATCCGGGGCCTCTCGGTCCTCGGCAAAACCGCACCCAGCGTCAACCACGACGCAGCGCCCGTTGCGATGATGTACTCGTTCGAGAAGGCCACACACGCCGGCCATCATCCTTCGCTGCGAGCGGCCGCGCGCGCATAAACAAAGGGTCTCTTTTATTTATATACACTAATGATATAATCTGTATACTTGAAAATCGTACCTCGACGCGCCTCTCGTTCCGACGACATATCAATCGATCAGCCTTTGCCCAAGCTGAGGCGACGGCTCAACGCTGGTACACACGACCGACTTGACATATCTCGACCATCATCGCTTGCGTTGCTGTTCACGTTGCAGTGGACTGGCTGCCAAGGACTTGGGGAGACGCTGCACAGGCGATGATCACTGGCATGATGGTGTCAATGGCAAAGTGCACTTTGCCACTTCATTAAAGTTGTTGAGTGTTTTTACAGCCAGTTGCACTTAATCGATCGGGTACCGGTACTGATACGGCGCCTTGCGATAGCCCTACCTACGCACAGTCAGTAAGGAGGCGACCTCGTTGGACCGAGTGTTGGGTTCCACCGACGATCAGATCTGCTTGAAGCTGGAAATACGCAATTTTTTGAGCCAATCAAACGTGTTCCATCGACGGCCGAGCCAATCAACACGGACGTTTGCACCTTCCGAAAGCCATGACCGGGGCGACGACAACCATCGCCCGCAGTGACTGCGTCGCGCTCGACGCGTCCGACAAGCTCGCATCGCTCCGTGACCTCTTTTCCCTTCCGCCCAACCAGATCTACCTCGACGGCAACTCGCTCGGGGTGCTGCCCACGGCCACGTCCGGTCGCCTTCAGGCGGTCATCGCCGACGAGTGGGGCACGGACCTCATCCGCAGCTGGAACAGCGCCGGCTGGATGGACTTGCCCAACCGCATTGGTGACAAGATCGGAACGCTTATCGGCGCGTCGCCCGGTCAAGTGATCGTTGCCGACTCGACGTCGGTCAACCTCTACAAAGTCCTCAGTTCCGCGCTGGCGCTCCAGCGCGCTGACGCGACCAAGACGACCATCTTGTCGGATGCGAGCATGTTTCCCAGCGACCTCTACGTCGCCGAGGGCTTGGCCAAGACGTGGAACCTCGAACTACAGCTCGTGCCAACGTCCGACCTCCTCGCAGCGATTGGTCCCCACACGGCGGTCGTGCTTCTCACGCCCGTGAGCTATCGGACTGGCGAGCTCCTCGACATGCACCAATTCACGTCCGTGGCCCACAGCGCTGGTGCACTCATGGTCTGGGACCTCGCACACTCGGCGGGCGCCCACGTCGTCGACTTGCTCGGGTGCGACGCGGACTTTGCGATCGGGTGCGGCTACAAGTACCTCAATGGCGGCCCCGGCGCGCCTTCGTTTGTATGGGCCCATCCTCGACACGTCAACGCTGTCTCGCAGCCGCTGCAGGGCTGGCTTGGCCACGACGCGCCCTTCTCATTTGCGACGTCGTACGTGCCAGCGCCCGGCATCCAGCGCTACGTGGCGGGAACACCGCCCGTGCTCAGTCTCGCGGCGCTCGAATGTGGTGTGGATACAGTCCTGGCTGCCTCGCCGCTCGGCGGTATGCCAGCCCTTCGGCGGAAATCGCTGGCGCTAACGCGCCTCTTTATCGACTGCATCGCCGAGCGCTGTGGAAATGCGTTCGAGGTGGTGACGCCGACCGAGGATACGCGCCGGGGTAGTCAAGTGAGCTTGCGCTTGACGCGCGGTACCGGCCAGAATGCGTACGCGATCGTCCAGGCGCTCATCGCCGAGCACAACGTCGTTGGCGACTTTCGCGCGCCGGACCTCTTGCGCTTCGGGTTCACGCCGCTCTACACGCGGTTTGTCGATGTGTTTGACGCCGTATATGCCATTGCGAGCGTGCTCGAGACGCGCGCGTACGAAGCGCAGGTGTACCAAGTGCGCGCCAAAGTGACGTGAGACGACAGACAACAACGACGAGCGCTTGGTTCGATGGAGAAGTCTAGGACTCGTGAGCTGAGTGCAAACAGGAGAATCAATACATCGTGCTGAATGGATGTATCGATGATTAGTCGATGAGACCAGTACGCCACATTCGATGCCCTTGGGCAAACCAAGGCTTTGCTCGGCCATAGAACGAGGCTTTTACGACATACTAGTACGTAGTAGCAAAATCCGAAGAGTACGTGACCCAAAGGTACGTCGTGATCGTCGCTATCACACTGTGTGGGCATCACAAATGAGCTCAACTCGAGACTCGAGGTTACCCTGGCTACGCATTCTACGCCGTTGTTGTCGCCGCCTGAGCATGGCTCCGGAGTGACTACCGAATCAGAAGATTTGCGCTCAGATTTGAGCTTTGGCTGAAGCCACTGTCACCTGAGTTGAAGGACGACAGATGGTGTTGGCTTGTTGAAGATACTGTAGTCACGTCCGTCGTTGCCACGGGCTGTGGTGGACCAGTGTCGATGGTGGACTGTTTGGGCCACGCTCTATTATGTACCGTGCTTGCCAAAGAAAGGGTGCCCTGCTGGGCAATGATGGAATCTAGTCGACAAGAGGCTCCACGAGACCATATCTCGAGGCTATCTCTGCGTTGGGTATTGCTGCTCAAAGTATCTAGTCGTGCACTCTGGCTTGGTGAGCCAAACCAACCCAGCCAGCCAAAACAGTGTGTTTGTCCAACCAGACTTGAGAGCACTCACATCAAATACATATGTCGGTGGTCTGAGTCCGAGCACATCAATGCGGCACCGCACCCAAAGGCTGCCCAATATACACCCACTGCACGGTCCACTGCACCAGCGTTTGCACTCGTCGATGACTCGGCGTCAACCCAGCTCCTGTCACAATGGCGCGTGAGCTTCATCCGGACTACTAGTACGCGCGTAAGGCCTGTAGGTTTATTACCGCCACCAAGACACTCGAACTGGCAGCTTCCACACTCTCAAGATGCATCCTACTGTGAGCTCCTACTGTGCGTTCGCACGGTTATCAGACCCGTGCCCAACTGGTGTTCTCAGAGAGTTCTCAGGCTCTTCGTCTTCTCAGATGCTATCAACACCATCACATTCCGTCACACTTTGAAATTGACCATGAAGGTGCTATACTGCCTCGCCGCGCTTCTCGCCGCCGTCTCGACGGTCACCGCCGCCGAAGACGACAAGCAGCGGACGCCCGAGCAGCTCGCGGCCATTCAGGACGATGCCGATGTCAACCGCAAGTGCCACACGGCGAATGCCAACTACATTCCGTCGCTCACAAAAGGCAAGTACGTCGATTCGGCTTTCCACAACTGCTTTCGCACCGACACGCAGATCACCGAGCTCCTCGACGCGTACGTCAAGCTCAACCCGGAGGTCTTTACCAAGTTTCCCGTCGGCCTGAGCTACAACAAGCAAACGCTGTACGGCTACAAGCTCGCGGCGTCGCCGTCGGCCACGCAGGCCATTTACCTTCAGTCGCTCATCCACGCGCGCGAGTGGGCCACTGGGTCGTCCAACCTCTACGCAATCTCGGCGCTCCTCGACGACATCAACAACGGCAAAGTCGCGGGGTCGCTCCTTGAATCCTATGCCTTTTACTCGGTCCCGATCGTCAACGTCGACGGGTACCAGATGAGCTGGAACGGCAACCGGTACCAGCGCAAGAACGCTAACGGTGTCGACCTCAACCGCAACTGGCCCGGCCCGTACGACGACCCGAACCCGCCCAAGCCTTCGGACGAGACGTACCCGGGCCCGTACCCGTGGAGCGAGCCGGAAACCAAGACCATTGGCTCGTGGCTGCTCAGCAAGAAGGGCGAGCTCGCGGGCTTGATCGATTTGCACTCGAACGCCGGCGCGGTACTGATCCCGGTCGGTGACACGAAGGCTGCGCTCCCGGGCGACACGGACGCGCGCCTTCTCAAGCTCGGGAATGCCCTTGGCACGGCCATGGGTGGTGACTACGAGGTCGGCCGCAGCTACGAGATCCTTGGCTACATGGTCTACCACGGCACGCGCGACTGGGGCCTTCGTAACTTGGACAAGCCGACGCTCACGGTCGAAATGATTGGCGAAGACTTTGTCGTGCCTGCGTCGACGATCCGCGCCCGCGGCCAAGAGCTCTACGCTGGTCTGCAGACGTACGCCAAGGAGTGCACGATCTACAACGGCAAGAACCCGACGTCGAGCCCGACACCCATCGTGACGCCGCGCCCGAGCTGCTAAGTGTTGCGCGCGTCTCGTCTTGTTACTACCTTTCCTCAACAACGTCTTTTTTGTTTGCGACATGCACAATATTGTCTTGTTTCTTGGCGACCGACGACGACGATAATACTAGTGGCATCGATTGGAGGCATCCCGAACGAACCACCCCTGTTGCGTCGATATATTAGTAACCCGACCCCTACCCTAGCCCTCGAAACGCTGTGAAAGCCGCACGCCGACGTATATCTATCAAGTTGATACTGCAAATGGCTTGTCTCGATGGAGAAACTAGTAGCGGGGCTTGTTCCAGACCCACTTGTTGCCAGAGTACTTGATGCCATCAAGGACCGGGCACCCGCCGTGGAGGCTCATGGGGTCGTTGACGCCGTTTGCGAGCATGCTAGCCAACGCCTGAGCGCGCATTTTCAATGTATGTAAACGTACCTGTAAAAGACGACGACCTTGCGCTTCTTGGGTGCGACCTTGAGACCTTTTGTGCAGTCCTTCATCGAGTCGGGCTGTGGGAGGCCGCCGGCGCGCGGGAATATCGTGTGCCCGCCGCTGGCAACGTCCGACATGTACCAAAATACTGTGATCATGCGGTTCTTATAGCCGTGGTGGATGCTTTCGACCACATCTGGCGAGTTCTGGTAGCTCTCGACGGGAAAGTAATCCGTGTGGTGATCGTACTTTTGCGTCTCCTCGTAGCGCAGCACTTGGACGTCTTCTTGGTGCGAGATTGGGACTTTGACGAGGTCCTCCACGCGCTTATCGATGCCCTCCACGAGCGCGTGGCGGTGCGACGGTAGAAAGTACGTCGTGCTCGTGCGCCACTCGGTCGCGGGCTTGCCAGCGTCCCCGTCCTGGAGCGTCACACCTATCAGTCTCTTGCTTGAGATTTTGGTCGCTAAAAGAGTTGGCTGGCATGCGACATACCCGAAGGCGCCAAGTGCTCCATCGAGAGGTCGAGGATCACGTCGATTTCATCGTCGCGCAAAAACTCTTCGACCGAAAAGACGAGCGGCGTCATCGCGAGCGTCTCGAGCACGACGTCGCCAAGCCCGTGGAGGTTCGGGACTGTGCGCTTATGGCCAACGCGGATACCCGGCCAAATGAACTGACCGCCTTCAAACACATAGACGATCGACGCAGCGTGGATCTGGCTGAGCTGCCACAGGCGGTCGCCGCGTGCTGAGAAGAAAGCCCAGCGCTGCTTGTACTTTTTCTCAATGTCGCTCGACGGAAGCGCAATCTGTAGCAGCGACTCGAGCTCGGCGCGGAGTGCGCCCAGGTCGAGCGCGGTCTCAAACGGCAGTGGCGCCGCCGTCGCAAGGCCTTCCTTGTACGCCAGACCTTGCACGCTGTGCATACATGTGAGACCAAGGAGCATTTGATAGCACGTACGTATCGTGCGTCGTCTTGCGGATGCAAAGCACATGGAAGCCTTGGACCGGAAGGACGTCCGTCAAGTGGGCCGACGCGGCGGCGGCGCACGCAGCGGCGTCGTAGGGACTGCCGACCGGCGACGGCGTCGGCAACCGCATGTCCATCTGCAGCGATCGCGCGACGGGCGCAAGCACGTGATGCTGGAGGAGCTCGCTGTAGTAGTAGCCAGCGACGGCGACGAGGACGATCAGTGCATGGAGAAGCTTGCCCATGGTGCTCTGCTCGCCACGCGGCAAATCTTAGACTGGCGTCGCCGCAACGCACCGATTGGTGCAGCTATTTAGGTTCTAGCCAATCCGTGCTACGTCTTCTTTGGCTTTTGACCAATCGCATGCGTCGACGTCGGTTGCGGAACTGAATCTCAATGCTGGATGCTCAAAAATCGAACCAACGCCAATGAAGCACAGCTTTGCTTGGGCTATTTTTTCGTTTGGAGCAACACTCACCACAAGCTCGAGGACACGAGCGATATCGAGCCAAATCGTCGCTAGCTATTTCCCGTGTCGCTCGAGGGCGAGCTAGGGTAGCGGAAGATTCATATATCCTCGCAAACCGCCATCACGATTTATTTCAAGTATTGGTGAAGTAAGAGGAAGTACGACTGAGGCTTGAGCCCGGCACCTATTCCGCGTACAATCTGGGTCCTCCGTGTCGACGACGGGACGCGTTTTGGCACAAAAACGAGGTGCACTGGGTTTGGACAATTGCTCCGTCGAGGCAACCAACACGTCCATCACACGCCACTTGTCTCGGTACCACAGCGTATGTCCTTTGGTTGCTTGATCATTTATCGACATCATTATTTCGACTATTCTCCGCTATTTGAAATTGTGAGTTTAGCGCTATTTGTTTCGTTTTTCGACGGTGACGAGCAGTATGGAAGGTTCAACGTACCTGCGTTGGTGGAGAAGTTGCGCCTCACTTTCATATCTGGCCGCAGCATGAGCACGCGGGCCCACGCGCTCACGCTGCTTTTTGCGGTAGCCATTGGCCTCTACTCGATCTCGCCCCCGACACTCGTCGACTACAAACACCTCATCGCGTCTCTCTTGGCGCCTGCAATTCATTTTGAGGTGGATCCTGCCTTCAACGTCTCCGCGTGCAAGGCCGCTGCAGCGTCCCACTTGTCCAACACCACGTACGTCCGTGGCTTCCACGTTCTCTGCCTCGCGGCCACCGCCAACAACACGTACACCCTCCAAAGTGTTGACAAAGGGTTCACTTGCTATGTGTTTAGTATCCAAGGGCTCGTGTACGAAGACGGCGTGCTTGGGTACCCTTTGTACTATGCGACAGCGCGCGACCTCGACGAGCTATTCCGCGCGCTGCCAAAGTCGAGCTTGGAGGACGCGGACGCGCTGCAGTGGAAGCAGCCACCTCGGTTTTACGCCCCCGACGGCGACTTGCTCTTGTTCGTGGACCAGCTGCTTGCCTACAATATCGTCTATCTCTTCGAAGGCGGCCAGTTCATTTGGCCAGGGCTCTACGTCGGGCACCGACGGGTCGTACCCGACCTTCCGGGGGTAGGGGATGTCGTGCTCGAGACGCTCTCGATGCAGCCACTCGTACTGGCGGTCGACCGGTTTTTGCACAACGAAGAAATCAACGTCATCGTCGAGCTCGCGCTTCCCCATCTCGCTGCCTCCAGTACGTTGCTGCATTTTGCATATTCCAACTCAGATCAGGAGCGTAGCGGTCAAGCTCCAAGATGGTGACGAAGACAAACCCGCGTCCGAGTGGCGCACGAGCTCCCAGTACTTTCTTCCGTCGTCCGAGAGTCCCATCTTGGCGCGTACGACACAGAGACACAGAGACTTCTCTCGCTAACTATCCGTCTGTAGAGATCGACGACCGTGTTGAAGCGCTCGTCAAGGTGCACAAGACGCACCAGGAGCCAGTCCAAGTCCTGCGCTACGAAAAGAGTCAGAAATACGACCACCACACCGACTACTTTGACGCCAACATGTACGACAACAGCCCCGACTTCCAAGACTACCTCCATCACGGCCACAAGAACCGCATGATCACGGTGTTTTGGTACATGTCGGACGTTGCGGCCGGCGGGCACACGGCCTTTCCGCGCGCCGGCGGCCGTCCCCAGCCCGACTCGATGACCGACTGCACAGAAGGGCTCCTCGTCGCGCCCAAGAAGGGCAAGGTCATCGTCTTCTACAGGTATACTGCAACACTTTGCGAACACCACGGCAGGATATATCCATGTCGTAGCATGCTCCCGGATGGATCGCTCGACCCGGTGAGCCTCCACGGCGGGTGCCCCGTCCACGACGGCGTCAAGTACTCGGGCAACAAGTGGGTCTGGAACAAGCCGCGGTAGATAACGCAGTAGCATAACCAGCACCCGCTACGTGAATGCATACAGCCAACCACCAAGTCGTATCTATCTATCTATCTATCTATCTATCTATCTATCTATCTATCTATCTATCTATCTATCTATCTATCTATCTATCTATCTATCTATCTATCTA